AACAGTTCTGATACCTCTTCTCAGCCATTGTGTCCAGTAAACAGTCTGCTTACCAATTTTAATTTTAGGATTATACCACAAGGGGGCATACTTCTGTACATATGGCACAAGTTTGTATTTCTTATGCACCTCCAACCATACCATTTTCGAAAATTTCAAAATAGGGTTTTGCGTCTTACCGTGATTATTCACTTTTTGTGATAAAATATCAATTGGTGTGAATGGAGATGCAAGCTCTTGTTCTATTAAAATCCAGTCTATATTATTTTTCCCTGCCCAATGTTTGCCTAATCTAGCCATTTCAAAAGAGATACTATAATACTCTATATTGGGCAGGGCTAGTCCCCCTTCTTTCTTAGATTGGGACAGTCAATTTATGTTAATACGGGGTTTACCACCCTTCCAAAGAAAATCTTTTATCATATTATTGTAGCTTTGCAACATCCATCGCGGGATACACATAGGCAGCATTCCTGTATAATAGTTGATGAGCGGTGCCACAACCATTTTAACTGTGTTCACTTTTCCCCACAATGTCAAATTTAGTTTACTCCATTTACCCAAGTTTTTATTGATCTTGTTTCTTGTTTAATTTCCCCATACTGTTAGCCATAATATCCTCAATATTGGGGTCCAATTCAATTCCAAGATATTTCATTCCCTTGTCCACCCACTTAAAGTTAAAGCCCGATATTAAGTTATGACTGCAAGCCTGGGAAACTGGCATCGCCTCTCATTTATGCCAATTAATTTTGTACCCCGAAAACATTGAGTATGTATTAATCACCTCTAATAGTTTTGTGATAGAATTAGTTGGGTCTTGGTTTAATATCAGCACATCATCTGCATACAGGAATAATTTGTGTTCTCTGCCTCCCCCAAATACACCTTTAATCTCTGCATTTTCTCTGATTTGAATAGCTAATGGCTCTAAAAATATTATAAATAGCAATGGGCTTAAATTGCATCCTTGACGTGTTGATCTGGAAATACTAAAAAAAGGAGAAAGTACCCCATTTGTAAATACAGCTGCTTCTGGACCAGAATACATGGTTCTAATCCATCTGCAAAAATTGTCACCTATTCCAAACTTTTCCAGGGCTGTGAACAGAAAGTTCCACTCCACCCTATCAAAAGCTTTCTGTGCATCTAAAGATATAGCCAATACAGGATTTGTGTTATTTCTATTCAGCCACAGCAGGTGTAGTAATCTCCTCATATTATCAGAAGCAGATCTATTCTTGATAAACCCTACTTGATCTTGATGAATAATTTGTGGTATTACAACCTCCAACCTTGTTGCTAAAACTTTGGATAGAATTTTGCAATCCACATTGATTAAACTTATTGGTCTGTAATTACCTGGATCAGTTAAATCCTTGTCGCCTTTTGGAATTAGTGATATTACTGCCTGATTAAAACTTGCAGGGAGTCGTCCAAATTCAAAGGCTTCATGTAATACTTCAGTTAGAAAAGGACATAGCAAATCTATAAATTTATGGTAAAATTCTGCTGAGAATCCATCTATTCCTGGTGACTTCCCAGCTTTCATTGCACGGATAGCTTCTTTTACTTCTACCTCAGTTAGTGGAGTTTCCAATTTGTCCCTACCCTCTTGTGAGATTTTTGGTATTTTCATTTTATCAAAGTATGTACTCAGCAGATCCATACTTACTTTGTTATCGGACGTGTATAAATCTTGATAAAATATTTTAAAAATTGTGTTAATCTCTGAAGAAGATGTAACTAATTTATCATCCTTTTTAACTGCCGTAATAACATTCTGATTGTCCATTTGCTTAAGTTGTCTGGCTAATAGCCTAGATAAAAACTTTGGAGGAAAATATAAGTAAATTGGAAAAACAATTAGCAGGAAAATTTGATGATAATGACTTTATCTATTTTACATTGAAGGGAGAGGAATCTTTTTTTCCATAGAGATGTTGTAAAGTGGCCGATCAGAGTTGTTGAGAATGGCTTCTAAGATCTTTAGTTTGCATCTTTCTAACCATCTCAAGTGGCTCCAGTTACACAGACAGCTTTTCTCACCAGTTTTTCCACTCTCCTTGCATCCTGATGCATCCGTCCTTTCTTGTATGAACAGTTCAGGCTGGTGGAGGTGGTGTAATTGTGCCAGCGATATTTTCTTGGCACACTTTAGGCCCCTCAGTACCAACTGAGCATCATTTAAATGCAACAGCCTACCTGAATATTGCTGCTGCCCATGTCCATCCCTTTATAACCACAGTACACCTATTTTCTACTGGCTACTTCCAGCAGGATAACCCACCATGTCACAAAGCTCAAATCATTTCAGACTGGTTTCTTGAACGTGAAAATAAGTTCACTGTGCTCAAACAACCTCCACAGTCACCAGATCTCAATCCAATAGAGCACCGTTGAGATGTGGTGGAACTGAAGATTGACATTATTGATGTGCAGCCAGCAAAGCTGTGTGATGCTTTCATGTCAATATGAAACAAAGTCTCTGAGGTGTCCAGCACCTTGTTTAATCTGTGCCATGAAGAATTAAGGCAGCTCTGAAGGCAAAAAGGAGGTCCAGAGCTGTACTAGTAAGCTAATAAATACTTAATAAAGTGGCCAGTGAGTGTACATCTTAGTTGCTAGGCTTCCAGGTAAGTAGACTTGAATCTGCATCTTTTCTCTTCTTCTTTGATTCGTATTTCTTATGTGAGTGTCACTGTGGGTGTTTCTACCCAGCAGCTGCCTCTCCTAACAACAGCGATTCCTTCTTGGCTCTATTCATTTTCACCATTGTCATCCACACACTGTGTCTGTGAGGCCCGCGTTTCTTCCACCAAAGGATTTAAAGTAATCCTGACAGTTGCTCGGTTACGGGAGGTGTTTTCTCACTGAGACCAATGGCTGAAAGCGCTGCTATTCCATTGATACTAAATAGTGGCGATTATGATGATGGTGTGTGTCTTTGCCTGTCTTTCAGTCAGCAAAGGATTTAGGCGGTGTGTTGGCTGCAGCGCGCTGCCCAAAAGAGAGATTATCAAATTAATTGAGTTATTTAGGCGAGACAGAAGATGTGACAGACATATTGTGCCACAGATAATTGTTTGAGTTGGATCATTTTAAGCTCAGGTGATTCTGCTTTTGTGCTGTGAATATTATCCTCTTAGCATGCTCCATTCAGCCATTTTCACTTGCTCTCCGAGTGATTTCTTTTGTACTCATTTAGTCTGACTGTCGATGGCTCCGATATTTAATTTTAAAAAAAAGAAAAAAATGATTCGAACATCATTGAAGCAGGCCTCATTTTATACAAAAGAATCAGCTTTCAGGCCAAATCTGACACACGTGGCTTCATAAATAAACAGGCCTGTGTCAATCAATAGAGAAGGCGTATTGATCCTAATCCCACCTAAACACGTAAGCATTCTCCAACATAAGGCACACAAGTGTTTACATGCATACTGCTGGTTCCCAGCACAGTAAAAGCGTGGTGAGGATTGAGAGATTACGTGGTGTTGGCATTGGGAGGGAAGTGGGAGGTGCCAGCAAGATTTTCCGTTAAAAAAAAGAAAAGAAGTGAAACCCAGCAGGGTAATCGGATTAAAATGAGTTTGGTTCAAATTGGGGCTTTTGAGAGTATTTTCTGCACTCCATCCCCAGCAGATGTCCACAACAGACCTCCTCATTCTCTGGAAGTGAAGAAACCAGCAGAGGAACAGCCAACATGGTCCCTAATCTGACCGGATATTGGAAAATGATTTCCAATGATAACTTCGAGGAGTATCTGAAAGCTCTGGGTGAGTTTATTAGTTCAGCAGGGAGTCAAGCCCAGAGAAGGAAGGCACAGATCACAAATGTACAGCTCGAAAAAGCAATGATGACATTATAAACCTGATCTTTACACAATCTGAGGCAATTCTTTGTGTGTCCATATATGCATAAAACCTCACTGCTTCTTTGTTTTCAATTCATTTTCTGTCACCTTGCTCACGGGCCAGATGTAAACATTACCATCAGGAAAATTGCCACCTTGCTGAAGCCTGACAAGGACATCGTTCACGAGGGCGACCACATAATCATCAAGACTCTCAGCACCTTCAAAAACTACAACATGGATTTCTACGTGGGCCAAGAGTTTGAGGAGGATCTGTCTGGAGTGGACGACAGGAAATGCATGGTAAGAGTTTTTACTTTTTGTACTTAAATGCATCTGTAGTTAGGAACCTGCTGAGACTTTAGCTAAACATCACAGATGAACCACACTGCTGCCAGGTGTTGGGATCTTGGGCAGTGACACACAGGAGTGCAGATTCTGTGGGCGTGTAAACGATTTCCACCCTTCAGCATAATGAGCACATGGTGTTGCAAGAACTGGTTGTTTTATACAATAGCAGAAAAAAAATCTACCCACTCATAAAAGTTTCCTCCAACTTTTTACAAACTCTTATAAATTGTTGTAAAAAGGAACAATGTCAAAAGCTGCATGGGAAGAACTGGTCGAGGATAGAACTCATATTTAATCAGATTATGTCACTGACTGCTGAATAGGATCACAGATTATTTGTGGTCCCCATCGAAAGCCCTTTTTTTGTATGCTTATAGGGTGATTTTAGTTAAGCCTTAAGCTGTTTGGAGTGCCGCTAAGAGGGAAATTCACATGTTTGTGTGTAAAGATCTATCTGAATAATTATGGAAAATGGTGAGAACTGGGTCACTCATTCAGCTTATTGTATTCTGCATACTAAAATCAATATGCTCTGTTTTAAGAGTAGTAAGAGATCCTTCCCTGATGCCTCATGCTTTTTTCACTCTCTCTCTGTCTTGTGATGTTTTGCAGACCACCATCACCTGGGAGGGGGACAGGCTGGTGTGTGTGCAGAAGGGAGAGATCGAAGGGAGAGGCTGGACCCACTGGGTGGAGGGAGATGAGCTTCATCTGGTAAGAAAACATCAGTCCCTGCCATGAATATTAATGCATTCAATTTAGACACTTTAATCCAAATCCAGAATGCCTCTCAGCGCTGTATGTGAAGAGCATTGATTTTTATGTGGGACTCTAGCATGAATTAACTACCAGCTCAAGCTGCAGTAACATTACAGTCTGTATGCAGGATTTCTGACAGTTACACAACTGACTCACAGCCAAATAATTATTTCCACTTAATTAAATAGCTCTGCTCACATATTTGATTCCCAAGTGTTCCCTCCAGATGCAAACTGCATGATTAAAAAAAAAAAGTGCATACTGTGAAATTAAAAGCCATCCAAATTCTTCTACTCTTGTAGTTGGCACCTCTGTCAGTCATTAGGAGCAGAGCCTTCGAGTTAGCCAACAAATGCATCATAAATGTTTTTATAAAATCTGTTAAAGCGCATTTGCATCTGAAAATACATTAATGCAATAAGTAGCCCATTAGTGTTTTCATTAGCACAGCATTATCAGATTTTCCTGTGTATGATTACGGCCATCAAAGCTAAACAAAAAATAATCTGCCAAGTTATTTGGTTCAAGTGATGCTAGCAGATGTTTTCAATCAGCTTGCCTGAAATTAGTTACAGTATTAGTGGAGAGATCCCCAGAGCCGGTTTGAGTGTAGAGCAACAGAGACCCCTGGTGGCTGACACATGAACTGCAACTGGAAATGTGTATTAATTCAGTGTAAAGAGGGGCGACTTTTTTCAGGTCATTTGAAGGATTCAGTGTTCTTTTGTGGGTCAATAAGATTTACCCATGTCTTTGGGAAAATAAATAATCAGCGATCAATAAAATAAAACAACATCAGTGATCTCTGTGTTACAAGGTTGAACGGACACAAACCAACAATCTTGTCGTGATTAAAGAGACCGCTTTGTTCTTCTCGTTTATATCTTGCAATAGTCCACAGTGCTGCCATATTTCATGTTTACGTGCTTATCTTGGCAGAACTTGATAGGTCTTTTTAAAATGAAATAAACTACAGGGTATTATTTTTCTTTTACTTTTAAAGCTTGAACATCTTTTTTCCTTGTTTTTTTTTTTCTTTTAAATTTTAATTTTTTTAGGGCGGCGTGTAGTAGTGCAGTGGTTAGCAGTGATGCCTCATGGTCCTGGGTTTGAATCCACCGGCCTGCAGGGACCTTTCTGTGGGGAGTTTTTTCACATTCTCCCTGTACCTGCATGGGTTCTTACCTGCGTCTTCCCACAGTCCAGAGACATGCATGTTATTTTAACTGGTGATTCTAAATCGGCCACAGGGTTCAATGTGACCTTGAATGCCAGTGTTTGTGATAGCTCTGATGTTTTTAGCCCCTCCCCCCTTTCTAACTACAAGTTGGTAATTTTTTGTATCACTTTTTATGATTAAAGTAAAGAAACACCACTTACTTCTGGTTAATGATGACACTAATCCTTGTCCATCTACTGCTTAGAGGTTCTCATTGGTCAGCATTACTTTCTGAGTCTCTCACATGTCTGAATAAACATATCAAACATGTATTTTTCTCTCCAGGAGCTGAGAGCTGCAGGAGTTGTTTCCAAGCAGGTCTTCAAGAAGACTTAAAGCAGCTTTCAGTGAACAGTCTGGTGCCTGCACCAAAAACTGGCTCAGAGAGACACATCAGGAACAACCTCTTCCTCTAACATACAGTCCGACTTTCCTTTTATCCCTCCAGCCTGTCCGTGTGTTCATGTTACTGTAGTGAATTCACCAAACACACGTTTCTGTTCCATCATGCTGTTGCCTTACTTTGCCAAAGGAATTTCTTTGTAGCACAAATGGGCAAGTTGACATATAACACCACAAAATCCAATACTGTGTATTTGTTTCAAGATGGGTGCTTTGATTAGCAGGTTTAGATGTGCTGGACGCATGCGTAAGTGCCATAGCTGTAGCTGATCTGATGGGCGAGCCAGCTGGGAATGTTGTGGATGCAGTGAAGAGAAATGTATTGACTTAGTTTTGTAAATGATTACAACTGAAGGACAATGGTAAGAGCAGAACTTGGCTGAGATGCTCAGTCTCCAGAATAAAAATGTTACATGTATTTGTCCCAGTTCCTTTAAGACTGTGGCTGTGAATGTTGAATCAATCAATAAATGAAGCCGTTCTAAACCATCCAGTGTATCAGAAGCTCTTTTGAGATGAAAATACCTCTCTTCCCATATGAGAGAAATCTCTTTGCTTCCTCTTGCGAATGAACCAAACAGCTCAGGTCACATTTAGCTTTGAATCACTTAATCTGTCACCTCGCTTTGTGCCATGTCATTACCAATTGGGCATAATCTATACGTGCTGTGCAACTCACTTGCTCATTCTTCGCTGCTGCTTCAGATCGTGCTGCTCTTTTGACTCCTTCCTGCTGCTTGTTGTGCATTCACACACAGGCACCTCGCCAGCGTATACCTGCAAGCTCTGTTGACTTATCATTCCTCAGAGGAGCTGTTATTGATTTATGTCCTCTTGCTTTGGGTGGTTTAAAAAAAGTTCTTTTATGAAGGAGTGAGGTGTCGACACAAAACCAGAGAAGCGTGTTTATTCTCAATAAATTTGTTGGTCATCGGCTGAAGGTGGGCTCTTTTTAAGTCTGCGTTTCAGTTATATGTGCCTCAATGTGATTATACTGTAGCATTAAACCTTCTGGAGGGGATCTCTGGAAAACAAAAAGGTTGGGTTGAACTTTATTAACCTTCAAACCTGTTCAAAGTTCAAATGCTCTGGTTGAGTTTGCCATTGAAACAGACCAAACAGTGTTAGCACTGAAAACAGAATAGCCTCTCCTGGCTACACATGCGCATTGAGAGCGATGGTGATGGTACACTTTAACGTGGATGCCCACAGATGTGCCTGTGGTAACCTCCATCAGTGACCGCAGAAAGCACGTCCTCCCCCTTAGAAATAACTGCCACTGCCAATCCTCTTTAAGCTATAAACTCACTTATCAGTTGCACTCTGCCCCCATGCCCCCCACTCATATAAAAGCAACACAGCATTAGGACACCCTGCCTCTTCCCCACTCCCTACACTCTTCAGTCACATGCCAGCTTCACCAGCTGCAGCCATGCCAGCAGACTTTAGTGGAAAATGGATACTGGAATCCAGTGAGAAATTTGAGGATTACTTGAAAGTACTGAGTAAGAAAACTTACATCCTGATATGTTCAATTTTAGACTAAAATGTCTTAGTTATATGATTAAAGAAAGATTAAAAGATTTGAATACTTTTAATCTTTTTCTTAACAGAACAACCGTCTAATTTTGAGCTACTTACTACAGATTCTTGTTGAGTAAAACTGAGTGTGATTATACATCATACATACATATTATGCTGTGAAAAAGTATTTGCCCCCTTCCTGATTTCTTAAATTGTTGCCTAGTTGTCACACTTAGATATTTCAGATCATCAATGAATAATTAATATTAGACAAAGGTAACATGAGTAAAAATGAAATCCAGTTTTTAAAAAATGATCTTATCTATTAAGGGAAAAACAGTCATCCAAACATGTTAAAAAGTAATTGCCCCTTAAGTCTAATAAATGGTTGTGCCACGCTTGGCAGCAAGTACAGAATTAATGCAATAGCTGGCAAAGACTCTTCACATCCCTGTGGAGGAATTTTAGCCCGCTCTTCTTTGCAGAATTGTTTAAATTCAGCTACCCTGGAGGATTTTCAAGCATGAATGGCCTGTTTGGCACGTTCAGAGGTGGACTTACTGGTATGTTTCAGATCATTACCTGCTGCATAACCCAAGTGCTCTTGAGCTTCAGGACACAAACTAATGGTCATATATTCAGGAGTTTCTGGTAGAGAGCAGAATTCGTGGTTTTATCATTTAAAACATGGTTTTTATCAGCGTCCAAGTCCTGAAGCAGCAAAGCAGCCACCGACCATCACACTACCACCACCATGTTTAACTGTTGGTTTGTTGTACTTTCAATACAATGCTGTGTTAGTTTTATTCCAAATGTAACGAGACTAAAACCTTCCCAAAAAAATTAATTTAACATAGGACCAGCTTTGATCCTTATCCTCTTTCTTCATCATTCAGAAACAGCATTTTGCATTTATTCAGGTTTTCTTTGTCTATGATCTGAAACAAGTGTGAAAAATATGGAAAAAATAAGAAATCAGGAAGAGGGCAAATACTTTTTCACATCACCGCAACATATAAACTCACAGCTAGCTATATTACTAATATGTAACTAAGGAGTTACCACAGTTCATCTGCACTTCATCATCTGTTCCTCTTCAGATACAGCCTGAACAATCTTCTGTAATCTGCTCCTAGATATTGACTTTGCTACAAGGAAAATTGCCATCTCCCTATCTCAGACCAAAGTGGTTTTCCAAGATGGGGACAAGTTTGACTTCAAAACACTGAGCACCTTTAGGAATTATGAGCTGGCCTTCACTGTAGGGGTGGAGTTTGATGAGTACACCAAGGGACTAGACAACAGAAATGTCAAGGTAAGATAACCACTGGAGTCCAGATGTGATAAGTCAGTCCTTGCCCATGTGTGTCCAGGGTACCTGATGCAAAAGGTTCTTAAAAAAATGAATCCATCTTTCATGGTAAATGGTAAATGGCCTGTATTTTTATAGCGCTTTTCTAGTCCCTAAGGACCCCAAAGCGCTTTACACAACCTGTCATCCACCCATTCACACACACATTCACACACGCTGGTGATTCATTTCATATATCTGTAATTAGTATTCAGTCCTGTATATTTCAGACTGATTTATAAGCTCATCAGTGTCAAGTTTCGTTTAATACTCTGCACTAGCTGATGCTTTAATGTTTTAAAAAACGAGCAAATAGGCCTATGATAAGTCAGTGCTAAAAAACTAGCATAAAAGCAAGGATAAGCTGGTTAGTGTTCATTAGCCTTCGGGTTATAAATCCGAGCATGTGAGCAGCAGTGATATAAGCTTATCTGAACATGAAATTCCTTATCACAATGTTCAGACAAAATTACATTACGCCAGCTAAAAACTGGCTTAACTGTTTAACTGTTGTCTTCAGAGTCTGGTGAAGTGGGATGGGGACAAGCTTGTGTGCACTCAGAAAGGCGAGAAGGCCAACCGTGGCTGGAAGCACTGGACTGAAGGAGACAAACTCTACCTGGTGGGCTAACAGTGCTTCTGATATTTAGATTTTTCTTTAATTTTTATTAAAGAAACTAAGGAGTAGTTAGTTGTAATGACTAACTACTCCTGACATTTTGGAGATGTTAGCTCTTTATACAGTAAAGTTACAGCGGGATACAAATAATATCCTGCCACAATTTGTTCCCCCTGTTCAAATCACGGGCAA